TTAAGTGAATGACCCAGAAATATTGAACTTGGATAAATCTCAAAGCAGTAATGAGCGTAAAAGGCAAGTTGCAATCCCATGTCAGCAAAGGCTGCAGTCATCTGAAGGCTTGACTGGGGCTAGAGGATCCAATTCTAAGGTGACTCACTAACATGGCTGACAAGTTCAAGCTGGGTCTTGGTTGGAGGCACCACTTCTTCCCCATGTTGGCTTCTCCACAGGGCTGTAGGATTGTCCTCACTATGTGGCGACTGGCTTCCCTCAGAACAAGTGACCCAAGAGAACAAGGCAGAAGCTACAAAGTCTTTTATGACATAGCCTTGGAAGTTATGCACCATCACTTCTGCTGTATTCTGCTGGTTTATACAGACCAGCCCTGATTTGATGTGGGATGGGACTACATAAGGGCATGAGTATAGATGATCCCTGACTTAAGATGGTTCAACTTATGATTTTTTTCAACTTTATGATGGGTTTATTGGGGTATTAAATGCATTTGTGACTTACAATGAATTTATCGAGATGTAACACCATTGTAAGTTGAGAAGCATCTGAAATGTCTTTATCCATTTTCTGCTGCTATAACAAAATACCACAGACTGGTGATGTATAAAGAGAAAAGATTTATTTGAGCCACAGTTCTGAAGGCTGAGAAGTCCAAGATTAAGGAGTCACATCTGGTGAGGGCCTTCTTGCTGTATCATAACATGGCAGAAGGCATCACATGGCGAGGAAGTGTGCCCAGGAGACACAGAGGGAAATCAAGCGGAACTCATCCTTTTTATCAAGAACCCATTCCCATGATAACTAACCTACTTCTGTGATAACAGCAAAAATCCATTTGTGAGGGTAGAATCCTCATGATCTGATTACCTCCTACCTCTCAACACTGTTACAATGGCAATTAAATTTCAACATGAGCTTTGGAAGGGTCAGTCAAACCATAGCAAATACCTATAGGTAAGGATCATAACCATCTTGGAGGCTGGTTATCACAATACTATATATTATGTATTGACATATATGTATGTACATATGTGTGTCTTGTCTGCCTGACTGCTTGTATGTATGTATATATCATGGATGGGAATGATAAATATCAACTACTAACTTTAGGATAGTGATTTCCTTAGGGGAAAGAAAAATCACCCTGCTTTGGTATGAAAAATTAAGCTGGAGTAAGGCTATAATAAAGTACGGACTCCAATTACAATGTAGTTGATAGAAGAAAGAGGTGGTGGTGGCCTGGAATAAGATGGTGGTAGTAGAGAGAATCGGAGGGATTACCAATGTTTTAAAAATAGAATGAAAAGACATGATGACTGATTAGATATGAGCAATGTCAGATTCTAGCTCTAAGAATAGTCAGGGGCTGGCTTGGGGGCTCATGTCTGTAATCCTAGCACTCTGGGAGGCCAAGACAGGAGGATCACTTGAGGTCAGGAGTTCAAGACCAGCCTGAGCAAGAGTGAGACCCCCATCTCTACTAAAAATGGAAAAAATTAGCCAGGCCTGGCGTTACACACCTGTAGTCCCAGCTACTGGGGAGGCTGAGGCAGGAGGATTGCTTGAGCCCAGGAGTTTGAGGTTGCAGTGAGCTATGATATGATACCACTGCACTCTAGCTGGGGCAGCAGAGCGAGACTCTGTCTGAAACAGAAAAAAAGAAAGAAAGAAAGAATAGTCAGGGATAACAGGTAATTTTCTGACCTAGAAGAAAATGATTTCTTAATCAGATGATGAGATCCAAATTGCACTGGGTTGAACTGGGTGACCTTACAAATATCTAACCTTACTGGATTTTATTATTCTTAGCTGTTAAAATAGAATGTTTGGATGATCTCTCTTGCCTTCCAACACTAAAATTCTATGACTGTATCTCACATTTGTGATACAGAATATTACAGAAAGGAGGGTGGAAAGAAACAGACAATAACAAAATTATAAACCACTGAAATAATCTGTCATATGCAGTTTAGCTCCAAGTAGCTTTGCAGAAAACACCCCACATGTTCTTCCTTATTTCACCAGTTCCCTTTAGTAGTAAGTCCTCAAGATATAGACAGTCATGTTTATGAGGTGATACATTGCAGTGGAGGTTTTACCCATTATTCTGAACACCAACCAACCTCCTGTATGTATTTTTAGAAGCATTTTTTAAACATTTGACCAAATAACAAGCATTTGTATTTTATGACTGTTTTTCAACTCCTAAGGCCTCAAAGGTTTTTTTTTAAAATTTATTCCTTTTTCAACCCCAAATGTTTTTAGTTCCCGCACTACTTTTCTTAGTCTGCACAATTCCATGGCATTTCGTTTTTATGCCTAAATCTGTTGTTGTGTTCTGGCTCCGAGTGTTCAAATTGAGTGTCCCATAAATACTGCTATAGAACATACTTAGATTATTTCTAATTTTATCGATATGGAAATCAAAGCAAAAGAGCAAAAAAATCCAAAGAGCCATTTGCTGCAGTTTACACTTCAAAAGAATATATTGTCTGTAGAGAATAGTAGCTGACAACTGTCATTAGCTTGTAAATGCCCATCTGACTTCACTACACAAAGCCTTTTATTGTTTATAATGTTAAACTTAAGGGAGGAACTTTGGTAATTGTTCTACTTGAGTTGCAAACCAAGAAACCTAATATTTACATTACAATCTAGTATGTGGGAAAGGAGGAGACCTAGAAATTTATTTCAAAAGCAATATTATAATAAAAGTTTATCAGCTCAGAAATATGTTATTTCGTGTAGAGTTTCTCAAAGCTTTCATATTTTATTCCCTTGAAAGGCATCATGCTCTCTAAAGGAAAAAGTTAAACTAGGTATGAAAGACCTTCATTTTCTCTGTTGACTTTGTCTCAGCTATTTTAAAACAAACAGTAACCCCCAAGCACTTACCTGTGAAACTGATGTTTTAGTGAAATCCTTCAAATGTTACGTGTTTCAGACTCAGATTCCTATCATTTGTTTAAATTCAACTCTGTCTACTTCTTGAGATCTGTGGTTAGTTACTCATTTTCACATATAGAAAAGGTATAATGGGGGGGGTAAAAATACCAAGTGAATAAGTTAATCACCTAATTTTATGATCCCATCATCATTACTCCCTATAGAAAGAGATGGAAATACTCATGTTAGTGGCTCTGACTTCAAGTAAACAGTGGATTGATTGCTAAGGATTCTTTTAGAAAAAAGAAGGAAAATTTAAGGACCGGTTTTTCACATATCTTTAGATATTGCAGGGTTTAGATCATGCATGCTGTGTGTTAAATTCAAATATAATCTATGGTAACAAAAATCAGATCAGTGGTTACCCAGGGATTAACTGGGATGGGGCTCAGGGAATTTGGGGGAATCATAGAAATATTCTTTATCTTGTGTCAAAATTCATCAAATTTCCATTTAAAATAATAAACTATGCCTCAATTAGTGTTTTGTTTTTTTCAAACCATGAAAGATTTTAGTGCGAAGCTTTTGTATACACTGTAGGCCTTACAAATTACTGGAACAGTCAAGGAAATAAGATGTAAATGACTACAACTCTGGAAAAGTTTGATGCATTTGAAATCTCCAGAACATTAATCTCACACATTTCTTCTAAACTGTTTAATTAGGAGGGATATGAATCCTTAGAAGCATAGTAGAATGTACCTCTTGACTCTTAAAAGACACTAATAAAGAAACATTATCACTTATATATCAGGTAGTATGCTAAGTGTTTTAAATTGTGCCTTTCATTTATGCCTCATAAGAGCTCTGTGAGTTAGGGATTAAACCCATTTTAAAATGAAAAAAGTGAGGCTCAGAGAAGGTGCATATGTCCAAAGTTACAAAGCCAGGATTCAGCCCCAAATTTGACTCCAAAGCCTGTTGTCTTGCCTCAGTGCTAACATCATCTTTAAATGCTTAGCTGCTTATGTAAAAAAGTTTGATTTAAAAATTTATTTATGTACAAAATTCATTTGAAAATTATTCTGGAAGAGGGTTATTCTGACATTTATTTTACTGACTAAGGCTCTGTAAATCAAGAGAGGAAAAAGATAAGGAAATTCAGAACTCTGTGCCATACTGTCATAAAAGATCCCTTCAATTGTATTGTTTATTATTATGTTTCCCTTCATAACATTTTGTTATAAAATCATAATTGAGCTTTGGCTTCTAGCTAAGCTCGGGAAGATGTTCAAGAGAAAATGAAAGGACCAACTTGAGCAATAGCAAGACCCCGTCTCTACAAAAAATAGAAAAATTAGCCAGGTGTCACAGTGCATGCCTGTAGTCCCAGCTACTCAGGAGGCTGAGCCAGGAGGATCGCTTGAGCCCAGAAGTTGGAGGTTGCAGTGAGCTATGATGACACCACTGCACTTTAGCCTGGGTGACACAATGAGACTCTGTCTCAAAAAAAAAAAAAGTAGAAAATGAAAGGCATTGATTTTGATTATATCATGATATATCCATGCTGTATAATAGAATGCTTATTTATCACCTTGGATATAATGTAGTATTAGTACTATATATATATATGAGTTGACTGTCCTGGAGTAAGAGTCTTACTTATTAGTATACTTTAAGAAAATGTCATTCCCCAGGGATTCTTGAAAGCTCTGAATTTCAAGAGCCACCTACTACAGGCTTGGAGTCTGGTCCAGCAATCTCTGGCTGCTTAATAAAATCTTACTAAATGAAACCAGGTATTCACCAATACCAAGAACTTTACCTCATATTCCTAGGAAAGCCTCTCCTTGACCCTCTCAGAAGACAATTCCTTAACTCTTTTCTCATATCTGAAAAATGAGTTATATGATCCATTTGATCTTCCATAAGCCAGTTCCCAGAATAACCTTCAACTAAAGCAAAAGGGCATGCTCTCAAACCTTCATTGAAAACATTTTAAACCATGCTAATAATAATAGTAGACTCCCATGTAAGAATAGTAATAATGTGGCTTTAACTTATGGTGAAATCTAATTATCATATGTTTGTGGATCTTTTTCATTCAGATGTGACAGTGGTTTATCAAAATGGGTTACCTGTGATATCTGTGAGGCTACCATCCCGGCGTGAACGCTGCCAGTTCACACTCAAACCTATCTCTGACTCTGTTGGAGTGTTTTTACGACAATTACAAGAAGAGGATCGGGGAATTGACAGAGTTGCCATCTATTCACCAGGTATAGTCACCTTCATTATTAATTCCCTCCCACTCCTTATTTCCCCCCAAACCATTTCTAAACACATACATACACACACACATGTCACTGCAAAAGAATCCTATACAGTTAACTTTAGAAAATATTTTTTTAACTTAGCAACTGCCAGAAGAGAAAGTAATTTCTTTCCCAGTGGTTCTCATAACATAATTGTTCAGTTTTGGCAAATGTATATTCATAGGGAATCTCATTCAAAAGCAATTCACATATAATGCATGGGCAAGGATGAACAACCAATCACATTTTATATTATTAAGACCTTCTATCATTACCTCAGGTGTAGAATAAATTTTTCCAGTAATCGAGCCCTTATCTCTGGAGATATGAAATATTCGGACTTCTTTTTAGATCTTCTCATGTCTTTTACATAAAAGTTTACCAAAATAAAGATGTATATGTTTGAAAAAAATACAAAAAGGCACTAAAATTCCCATTTGATATAACATCTGTTTCATTTATTTATATTTTAAGTGCCTTTTTACTTTGAAAAAAACTTGAAAGATTAGTCCAGTAAGTACCCATTTACCCTTCTCCTAGATTTACCAATTGTTAACAATTGCCACATTGCTATGCTTTAAGTAGTTTAAATATACTTAATTCCAAATTCATCCAGCAACATAATTAGTAGACCAGCATGGTGTGTACTTTGCTAACCCTATTGTCTGTGCCTACTGAACTATTAGCAACTAATCAGTGACTGTATTGAAAAGTACTATGTGTTAGAAAATATTGTTTTTTCACTCAACTAGCTTCCATCATAGACAAATGTAAGAAGTCCATGCAGCTCTCTCAGTGACCCTAGATTTCCAACTGAAAATCTGTCTTTCCTATAGATCTATGACCAGTAATTATTTAACTTATTTATACGATTCTGCCAGAAAAGCATGTTGTTAAATCTTCACAGACTTGAGGCCTAAAAGCAAAGAGCTTTAGACAGTCTAAACTTTGTTTAGCATAGAACTGGGGGATGAGACAAAAAGTTAGCTGAAATTTAAAAGGGAAGCAGTAATTTTTTTTTTTTTTTTTGAGACAGAGTCTCTTTTTTGTTGCCCAGGCTAGAGTGAGTGCCGTGGCATCAGCCTAGCTCACAGCAACCTCAAACTCCTGGGCTCAAGCAATCCTCTGCCTCAGCCTCCCGAGTAGCTGGGACTACAGGCATGCGCCACCATGCCCGGCTAATTTTTCCTATATATTTTTAGTTGTCCGATTAATTCATTTCTATTTTAGTAGAGAGAGTGTCTTGCTCTTGCTCAGGCTGGTCTCGAACTCCTGAGCTCAAACAATCCGCCCGCCTCGGCCTCCCGGAGTGCTAGGATTACAGGCGTGAGCCACCGCGCCCAGCGGGAAGCAGTAATTTTTAAAAACAATTTTGAGGATTGCGTTTTCCTGATCCTTCTTGAATAATTATGGACATATGACAAGTTTTATTTAATATTTTCACAGATGGCGTTCGAGTTGCTGCCTCAACGGGGATCGACCTCCTCCTCCTTGATGACTTTAAGTTGGTCATTAATGACTTAACATATCATGTACGGCCACCAAAAAGAGGTAAAAAAAAGTAGCCTTGATAAGGTCACAGAAATATGGAAAGGGCTTTTGGAAAGAAATTTATTTTTCCCTGGGTAACCCTGAGAGACAGACAATATTAAAAGAACACTGAAAGTTTTACATACAAATAAGCACTATTTCAGTTGAAGAGCTCATTGAGTACCTGGTACTTGGCTAGTACATTGACTAAAACCATTTATTAATAGATTTGACCTAGATACCAGAATGCTTTATTATCTGACATTGTTACTCTGTTTCACATAATTAAATGTCCTACATCAGCAGTCCCCAACCTTTTTGGCACCAGGGACCAGTTTCACGCAAGATAATTTTTCCACAGTGGAGGTGGGAGAGCAGAGCTCAGGCAGTGTTGCAAGCAATGGGGAGCAGCTGTAAATACAGATGAAGCTTTGCTCACTCCCCCACCGCTCACCCCCTGCTGTGTGGCCTGGTCCCTATATTTCATGGAAGACAGTTCTTCCACAGAGGGGGTTCGAGGGTGGGGGAGTTGGAGGTCAGGTGGTGATGTGCATCCGGTTCCTAACAGGCCATGGACCGGTACCGGCCACCACCTGGGGCTTGGGGACTGCAGTCCTGCATAACTTAAGCTCCTTCCCTCCATATAGGCTAAAAGTCATATTATTTTAATAACATTACAAGGAGAAATCTTTTAAAAATAAACTGTGGGTTTCTCTGTTCTTTTAAACATTGTGACAGGTATTAATCCCCCTTTTTTTTCCTGATGATTCAAGGTCAGCAGTCTGAAAGTCAATTATTGCACAATAATAGTCTTTAGGAACTTCTGACATATATGCTTTTGTCTGCAAAGTGAGGTGCTCATCTCAGGTGCATATTTTAAGAGGGTGCCAAAAAATTCAGTAATCAATCAATTGTTTTAATGCACTATTATTAAAAAACCAAAGTTAATGCAAAAAATCCATAATGAACAAAATATCGAATTTAAAATAAAGACAGAGTCAGTATTACTAATTTTTCATTTCATCCTAGGTTCCAGTATTGCTCTTCATGGTACAATGCTAAATAGCCCTCTAAAACAGCATTTTGAGTTGTGTCTCTTTTGGCCACATTTCTCTCTTTGTTCTTGATATTCATTGTTACTCCTGTTGTTAATGTTCCTTCCACTAAAACCCCTCCCTCTACCAGCCTCCCAGGACATTCCTTCTTTTCAATCCTGGGTCTAACATAGAAAAAGTTCTAACTTTTAAAAATTGGGTCTAACATAGAAAAAGTTCTGAGCAAAGGCCTGTATATTAAATGCCTCCATAATCTGGTCCACATCTACCTTTTAAAATTTTCTCTTTTCCTCCTGCATGTTCCTTACTTTTTCTCCACTGTATATTCCTTTGTAATTTCCTGAACTATGCCTCATTCTTTGCCATCTCAGTATTTGTTCACCTTTCCCTCCCTAAGATATCTTTCTCCTTTCTTCTGACCTCATACTTCCTCATGTCAGTGTCAGCTCTTCCATGAGGTCTTTAATGATCCTCTTCTTCTTTCTCTGACTCTCAACCAACAGAAGTGATTAATCTCTTCTCTGAATTCTGCTTATTCCTTTTCTTTGTAAATGCTCTGGAGGAGGGCACTGTTATTTTGTATTCCCCATTGATTCATTCTCTATTGAGTGAATTAAATGAGTTAACTGAGTAGCATTTCATTGAGGCCAATATGTTGTTGAGAAGTAGCTAGCTGGGGAGAAGTATAGAAAATGATACAGAAAAGTATCCTTTAAATAGTAAGAATGGAAAAATATTCTTAAAATACATTTGACCCTTGAGCAACAGGGGTTTGAACTGCATGGGTCCACTTATACAACAGATTTTTTTCAAGAAATCGGAAAATGTTTTAGAGATTTCTGATAATTTGAAAAAGCTCAAAGACAAACTGCATAGCTTAGAAATGGCAAAAAAATTAAGAAGTTAGGTATGTTATGAATGCATAAAATATATGTAGATATTAGTCTTTTATCATTTACTACCATAAAATATATACAAATCTATTATAAAAAGTTAAAATTTATTAAAACTTACCCATACACTTATAGACTGTACATAGTACCATTCACAGAAAGAAATGTAAACAAATATAAAGATGCAATATTAAATCATAACTGTATGAAATTAACTGTAATACATAGTATGCTACTGTAATAATTTCATAGCAACCTCCTGTTGCTATTGTGGTGAGCTCAAGAGTAGCAAGTATCTGCTTAAAATGCCATGTGATGCTTATCATCTCTGCATAAGCAGTTCATCTCTCCAGAAAATTGGATATTACAGAAAAGTGATCTCTCGTGGTCATTGCATATCTTCCATAATATTTAGTGCAATACCATAAACCTTAGTGTTTATGTATTTATTTAAATACAAAACAAATTTATACAAAATTAAATACAGTCCTCTCCCAGAGCTGCCTGTCTCTTCTGGGAGGAGCCTACCCTCCCTGGAGTCAAGTCCCTGGCACAACTACACCTCCCCTGCTGGAGCATTTCAGCCACAGCCCCCAGGCATTCTGGGAGCCCAGCATACAAAGGTTAGGACTTTCTCTGCCATAGGGAGGCCAGGAAGGGAGCTGGGAATTCTGACACTGTTGGGTGCCCCAAGGGCACAAACTATCACCTCTGCTGAGGGAGAGCAGGGTGAGCAGTTCTTTCCCCAAACTGCCTGTTTCTGCTGAAAGGAGCCTACCCTTCCTGGAGGCAAGTCCCTGGTACAACTACCCCTACCCCACCATAGCATTTCAGTGGCAGCCCCCACGGATTAGGCATTCTGGGAGCCCAGCACACAATGGTTTGCGCTTTCTCCATCACCTCTGCTGCGGCTGGGCCAGGAAGGGAGCTGGGAATTGGGACACTTTTGAGTACCCCAAGAACAAAAACTACCACCTCCACTGAGGGAGGAAAGGGTGAGCAGTCCTTGCCTCCAGTTGCCTGCCTCTGTTGGGAAAAGCCTGCCCTACCTGGAAGCAAATCTGTGACATAACTGCTGCCACCATCCCCTCGCCTGAGCATTTCAGCCACAGCCCACCACCGTTCTTGTAGCCCAGTGCACAGTGGGTTGAGGTGCCTTCACTACCACTGCTGCAGCTGTGCCAGGGTGGGAGCTAGAAATCTGGGGGCTTTTGTGCCCCCGAAGGACAGAGAACACAGTCACTGCTGACATAGGGAGATGTGAGCGGCTTCTGTGCCCTACAGCTAGCTGCCTGCCTCTGCTAATCTCACCACAGGATGGGCAGGCTTGCAGTGCATCTGCCCTTCTCCTGCCTGAGGATTCTTCCAGACCGGGAGATCACCTGTCCGTCTCTATCAGAGCCAGCACCTGAACTCAGCTCAGTCTTGGTCTGATCCCCGCAGGACTCAAGCATAGCATCCAGGGGCCTAGGGATTGGGAATTACCTAACCTAGTCCACCACTGCTGGCACCTGAACACTCTGCCAGGGGTCTGAGGTCCAGCTGACCCAAATTGCCAGCAACGCCATGATGGCTACTTATCTGCACAAGCCAAGTCAGTGCACCTTTCCCTCTCTGTGCTGAGCAGCAGAGTTCCCAGCAGAGAACAGATAAGCCAAAAGGTATGTTTTGAGCTAAGGGAAAAGGTTCCAGATGAGAAGGAACCAGCATAAGAACTCTGGCAGTATGAAAAAACAGGCTGTTTTGACACTCCCAAAGAATCACACTAGGTCTCCAGCAATGGACTGAAAGCAAAAGGAAATTTTTGAAATGTCAGATATGGAATTCAAAATATGGATTGCAAGTAAGTTTATAGGGATCCATGAGAAAGTTGAAAACCAACACAAAGAAACCAAAAAAATAATTCAAGAAAGGAATGAAAAATTCACTAAAGAAATAAGTATTTTTTTAAAAATAACAGAACTTATATAAATGAGTCATTTAGGAAATTAGAAAATATAGTGGAAAGTTTTAACAACAGACTAGACCAAGCAGAAGGAAAAATTTCAGAGCTTGAAGACAAGGCTTTTGAATTAACCCAATCAGTACCCGCCCCACAAAAAAGAATTAAAAAAATGAACAAAATCTTTGAGAAATATGGGATTGCGTGAAATGCCCAAACATAAGAATCATAGGTATTCTTGAAGGAGAAGAAAAAAAAGCATTGAAAAACTATTTGAGGGAATATTGGAGGAAAATGTCCCAGGTTTTGCTAGAGATTTGGACATCCAGATACAAGTAGCTCAATGAACTCATGGAATATTCATTGTAAAAAGGATATCACCAAGGCACATAATCATTAGGCTGGTCAAAGTCAACATGAAGGAGGAAATCCCATGAGCTGTGAGACAAAAGCATCAAGTAACTTATAAAGAAAAACCCATCAGACTAACAGCAGACTTCTCAACAGAAACCTTACAAGCCAAAAGGGATTGGGGTCCTATCTTTAATCTTCTTATTCAGAATAACTGTCAGCCAAGAATTTTTGTGTCCTACAAAACTGTTTTATAAATGAAGGAGAAATAACATCTTTCCCAGACAACCAATGCTGAGAGAATTTGTCACCACCACACTGGCTCTTATGCTCAAAGAAGTTTTAACCATTGAAATGAAAAGTTGATACCAGTATAAAAGCACCCAAAAGAAAAGAAAAAGAAAAGGAAAAAAACCCCACAGCTTTTATAAAACAGTAACAACAAGGAAGAATACAAAGCAACTAAGTAACGATCAACATAATGTCAGGAACAGTATCTCACAGATCAACATTAACATTGCATGTAAATGGTCTAAATGCCCCACTTAGATTGGTGGAATGGATAAAAAAACACAGCCCAAATATTAATGTCTGCTGTCTCCAAGAGACCCATTTAACTTGCAAAGATTCTCATAGACTCAAGGTAAAGGGGTAGAAAAAAATATTCCAAGAAAATGTAAACCACAAGCGTGCAGGAATAGCTATTCTTAAATCAGATAAAACAGACTTTAAATCAACGATAGTAAAAAGAAACAAAGAAGGCTCTTGTTGAAAATATCA